CTCTTATCATTATTATAAATATATTACTTCTTGTTGAACTTGTAGCATGGAGAATTTATAGAACATTTTCATATTGAATATTGCTCGAGAAAATCAGTAGTGAGTTGGAAACCCAGGGAACACATTTGTGCGCGTAGGATTATGCCTGACAACGTTGGTCCCAAGCAGAAGCAAATTTTCTAAAAATAAAAACGCGTGACAACGATGGGCCACGAGGCGGACCATCGTTGTCAACCTTTTTATTTTCTTTTTATTCAAATTTTTTTTTTTTTTTTTCAATTTTTTTTTAATTTTTTTTTTTTTTCGTTTTTTATTTCGTTCTTATTTTTAATTTTTTTTTTTTAATTCAAATTTTTTTTTCATTTTTTTTTCAATTATTTTCATGTTTTTCCACAACTATTTTTTTATTTTCGGTTTTTTATTTTATTTTTATTTTCAATTTTACGCGTGACAACGATGGGCCACCATAATAGTGGATCCCAAATAATTTTGAGAGTGTCTCGAAATACCAATCCATTTGATAAATAATTTTTATTCGACCACATGAACGCTGATATCCTGAAAATTAATGTTGAAAGAGAAGTACGCATTCTCAGATATCGGACATCCAGTCGCGATATTCAATCGTTCATATGCACCAATCTCACATTAATAGTAATTGCTACCCAAGTTTGTAAAGTTTAGAAACCAACAAACAGAAAATAACTTATCCTAAAACACAATTAAAATTCAGTCGGCAATAAATTCGTCGCCGAATAAAGCTGACTGCAAAACGACGTTGTTTTTTGAGCAGAATGTAAAAAAAATTATAATTAATAAACGGGAGTTACGACGCCCTTAACACATTGTGTGTATTAATCCTGTTAGAGTATTTGGACAATTTCGAATTTAAAATAAATGAAAACCCGACTTATAAGAAAGACGCAAAAGTAAAATGAACATTTATTGAAAAAGTTATTATTTAAGAAAGACAACATGATCGTACAATTCCGCCAAAACCTCGATGTTCGCAAGTGAGATGATAAACAAATACTTCCCTGTATTCGATCAATTAACTTTAGCGTATCGTTGTTCTGCCAACAAACAGCCGGGTGCAAAATATTTCCGTCCTGTGATATGCTCACAAATATTCTCGATATTAATATCATACCCTCGCGTATGTACTTTCTATTAGCTCTTTAGTGATCCCTTCCATCCTTGGCCAAGTCATGTTTCGAATATGTGAACATTTTATTCGACAATACATGGCCGGCGGGATGTTAAAATTGTAAACAAGAGAGAGGTAAAATCAATCGCGAATTTCGTTATAACGGCTCGTTTACGAATTGTTGCGCCTGTTATCGTCGAAAATGATTACATTTGTTGTATTTTGAGGCATTTAAGCAGTAATAATTATGGCATGACATCATCAAAATTGTCAAGTGAGATCTTGAAATTGCAAATTCCGTAAATAAAATTGTGAATTACTGGGTAACGAATTCAGCTTTAATGACCGTCGGGGTAATGTTTTGTTGAAAATTATTATTAATGTGAGAGCGCCAAAAACATACAGTCCATGCCGATGCGGCCGCAATTGGTGTGGCGAGTTTATTAATAGTGTAAAATAAATTAAACGAATATCAATTATAACCAAGCCTGTCAGCGTGTTTATTTTCTGTGGGCAGGAATCGTAAAATACCATCTTGAGACAAATTCACTTCTATTATAAAATCTTAATTTTCAGTTATTATCGTTATACAAATAACGTGTGGCAACTTTTTAATTTATCGTCGATCAAAAAACCGCCCCACACTCGTCCAAACGTGTGTCTAGCTTGAACGACAGGGACAGAAAATATGTATTTTATTGGGAATGCAAAATAAATGTAACAAAACGATTTTTTTTTGTGATATAACTTTGTATTTTCGGAAAGGGGTTGCCGTGAAAGGTAAAATTTGATCTAATTAATCGCAAAAATGTTTTATTTTAAATGTAACAAAACACATTTTGCGATATAACCTTGTATTTTCGAAAACGGGTGTCCTGAAAAGTAAAATATGATCTAAATTAATCGCAAAAATGTTTTATTTCAAATGTAACAAACAAAACACATTTTTCGAGATACAACTGTATTTTCGGATACCGGGTGTCATGAAGAGTAAAATATGATCTGAATTAACCGTAAATAATGTTACATTCCAAATGTAACAAAACGCATTTTTTGCGATATACCTTTGTATTTTCGATAACGGGGCGTAATGAAAATTATTAATCTAATGTGTTATCTATTGTCTAACTAACGTCTGGAACACATCATTTTTGGGGAGAACTCTAGCCCGCGAAACGTCATTTAATTTAAAAGAGAGAATGTTTCACGCATACCAAAACGGAAAATCACCAGTAAGTGGACAGGGATTCAACCCTCCGGATTCAGTATTCTATATCCCCCCGTGTCAGAACTTTCTGAAGAATGGAACAAAGAACCCGTCAAACCGCCGCGGAAGAAGGGGAGTATTTTTTGCACTAATAATTAGGGCCTGACATCAAAATCGTCAAGAAACTGGTGAATTTGAAAATTCCATAAATAAAATTGTGAATTGCTCGGTAACATTTTAACTATTATTATCGCCGGGGTATTGTTTTGTTGAAAACACGTTGAAACTTGAGGGAATTAGTTACGATTAGCGCCTGACCTCTATTAGGCACTCGAGCACTCGAAAAAAAAAGCACTTGAGCCCAATCTTTTTAGCATTTAGTCGCATACGTAAAATATCCTGTAAAAGAAGTGCTGTTCATTAACGTCATCTCGTCTTATGACCACGCAGAAATGCCTTTATTGCCGAATTATTCAATCACTATTTTAAATCAACATTCAGGATTGGCGCAATTTCAGATTTGCGAAGTTTATCACCATAGAAATACATGAGAAAGTTAATTATCGTCTTAATAAATATCTGCATCACGGTATCGACAATAATATTAAAATTGGGACGGTAAATTTACGAATTTGATAGGTAATATTAAAGCCAACGCAATTTGGGTCCTCAATGTCTTCAACAGCTGTTGCCGATGTGAACGAACGAGTAAACCCGAATTATAAAACTTCGATGTCCGCCGACCTGCAAGAATTCATATTTGTAATAAAGAGAGGGCGGGAATATAGATTATCAAAACCTGTATATCGCCGCCAAAACGATCGGTGACAAGAACAATTAGCGATTACAACGGAATTAACCAGTAAAAAGGCTTTGTTGCCGATTTTTTAATGTTTCCACCACGTTTATTCGGTACTGGTTAAAAATATTGGATTCAAAAAAATATTGAATTTTGCCCACCCGTCCTCACATATCAATGAGAAATAGTTGTGTAAATATCGCAAAATTCCGGAAAATGCCACGTGCTTTCAACATTGTGATTACAATAAAATGGAACTTAATGGTATTTTGTGAATTTGGTGATTTTGCAAATCTGTGACATGCTGCTAAAAGTTTGGTCTGATTTGAAAATCGTGCAGTTTGGTCACAATTCATCCAAAGTGACTATAACACGTTGCTAACACTTTTATAGTCATTTTGAATTCATCGATATCATTGATAGTCACATGACCACTCTCGTTCAAAGAAACGCACTGAGTAGTATTCCAACATCTGGTTTCAAAGACGCGGGAGCGTTTTTTGCGGGAGAAGCGGAATGGTGTGCTTGTATAATAATCATATTATAAACAAGAATTTTGCTGTTAATGCAAAAGCTTTATCTCCTATGTCTGCATCTCATAGGTTAGAATTCCAGTAAATATGGTTATGATATGCAGAATTGAGTTACAAAAGTACTAGTATGTTACTTATTTGTCAACTTAATACTCGAAAATATTTGTTAACTTTGAATTTTTATTCCATTCAAAATCGGAAAAAAGTGCTATTTCTCTTCAAAATCGAAAAAAAAGTGATATTTCGCAGTCCCTAAAAAAAGTTGCGAAAGTGCTTCGCAATTTTCGCAAAAAAGTGCGCTAATAGTGAACACTGGTATCCTACATTCCATTTACTTTTCGGAATGAAATTGAAAATTGCCAATTTTTCGTCCTTTAATCTCCATCGATGATAAGCGACCACAAACTCGTAAAGGATTTTACCGCGTCAACTATTTATCAACAGTAGATCTGACTGACATTATCCAGATGTCCTCTAAATCTATAGCAGTGGTTTCAAACCTGGTTCCCGCTGATCCCTAGGGTTCCGCCAGCGCAGACCAGGCATTACGCATGTTTACATTCCAATTCGAGAGTCTATATTATTATATGCATATCGAATAAATATACTATATATATTATATGATAGCAAATATTATCAAGTATAGCCATATTTAATTTCACATGGATTTCTCGAGCCTCTTGATCATATAACGTTTTATAGTCACTAATTTTTGAATTTTAATTTGTTAGAGGGCTCGATCTTGATGGCAGTGTCGTCATCGAGGGGTAAAAATTTCAGTTCAAAATCTCATGTGTTTTCAAAAGCATTTAGCTTCCTACACATTGGTAGATATCAGTGTCTGTTTGTACTGGGCGTAGTGTAACAAAGAATAATTGAAAGTGAAAATTTTCTGTCTGGCGTGTGGATTATTTATTCTTTTGATGGTGAAATAACGTGAACTCGTAAAATATTTAACCGCATCTGATATTTGTTAACGCTCTGCCTGGCTCACAGTATTGAGATCTCTTTCTGAATGTATTCACCGACCGTTTTCGGAATGTAATGTAATTAATTTTGGCTATGTGCCGGGGCATTCAGGAAGTTAACACATACAATATATATATATATATCCTATACATTACTCACATATATATACGAAAATAATTTATTCATTAGTCTAAATTTTTCGATTTATCACTTATTTCTGTTTACACATTTTACATCAATCAATTTTCTCAATGAGGAAATCATTTTTGTGTTTAAATTTACAAATTCTAACTTTGCCGTTAATCCACACTGTTTCATTTTGATTAAAAATGACTTTTATATTTCAGGAATCCTTATTCCTCTAGACCAGGTAAACGAGGCGCAAAAGGCGATGTTGGCCCACCAGGATTAAAGGGATCGTCCGGAGAAGTTGATTATGGAAGAATGAACCGAGCAATTCAAGAAAATGTAGAAACCGGTAAGTTTCAGAATAATATCCACAAAATCTATCCGAAGTCGGATAATCTGGGTTCAGAAAAAGAAAAATTGAGGGTATAATTTAGACTAATCGCCTTTATTGGTATACAACAAACAAACAGACATCTTCATCAAGCGAAAAGAGTGCAGTTCAATTTGAATAAAAAATTTCATTTAAATTGTTTGGTAATTTTAACGTTGTCGAGAAGACGAGTTTACGGTCGTTTTTCATAAATTTGTGTCGAAACTGTGACACAAATAAAAGATATTGTAAACTCAAGCTCCCATTTTGAATAATTTATGATAGAGTTATCTGCTTGTACCAATAAAGATTTTTCGAGCCATCTTTACATCTCAAACTTGAGATTACGCTAGCTTTATTACAACTAGGGTTCACACCCCAAAGATATTTTTTATATTTCTTCGATATGTATGCAACTATGTTTTTGATTAAGTCACAATATGTGTTTAGTTACTAGGCTGGGCCGTGTAAAAGATTTCATTTAACTTTTCAGAATTCAATAGAGTGAACACGGGATTGGTTGGAAAAATAAATAAAATGGAAGAAATGATTCGAAAAATGAATAACACTATGTCCGACCCTCGTAGGCTGGTGAAGTTACAAGGTACACCATCAAAAACAGCTATTTCTGACGAAGAAGCTGTGGCTTATGTCAAAATCGTAGGCTAATTGAAAGGGGGGAAATAAACCTATGATGGCTATCATCACACTTTTCATTATAAGATATACTCAAAAACAATTTTTTCATAAACAAAATGAACAATCTTCTAAATAAACAAATTTCTACGTAAAAGAGATGAATAATTTAATATAAAATTAGTGCTTATAAAAATGTTTGAAATTGTTTAAAAAGAAATAAAGCATTAAGCTAAAAGCGAAACGAACATAAATATTAAAGTTGTAAGTAGCCACTGCTTTACCAGGAACCACATGTTATGTCATTCGAGCGACAAAACTCTAGCAGTTGGCAGATGCGTGATGCATCCTTAAGTCTCCAATGCCAGAAAAAACGAATAGTTCAACGGAAAATTTTGCATTATTTTTCTGCAGGACTTTGCCCCGTAAATTATCGCAATCATTGCTTCTGGTCAGTAGTGCATTCAACATATGATACCAATATGGATGAAGCAAAAAGAATTTGTGGAGAAAACAATGGGCTTCCGGCGAATGTTTATAACGAGCAACATCTGAACGACTTGATGGATGATATTCGAAAAAAAGTATCAGGCTCTTTTGTGTACATATGGACAGGCATGACAGTCGATGTATAGGTAAGTAGTTTACCAGGAACATTTTCCGCAACACGATGTAATAAATTTTATGTTTATTTTTTTTAATTAGAATTTGGTACGATTCTAATGTCAAATTACATCTTATGGGTAGGATTTCTAAATTAAATCGTTTTACATACTTTGAAATTTGTATTTAACAGACGAATGCAGTTCGCATGAGAGACCTCACTGCGGCTGCGTTTGTCAAATGGTTGAACAGTGGATTTCCAGACAGAGGAGAATCAGGTTTGTATATCTACGTTACTACTGACGCATCATCCAGCAGCCAAGGAATGGGGAACAATCCACCTGCATACAAATATCACGGCGTCATTTGTGAAAAATAGAATACAATGTATTCGAGATGTCTTTATATTTGAATCATATTTCAAACTCTGTATTTTGGGAAACATATTTTTGACAATGTTTCAATTAGTTTTCACGATAAGCCATTTCCTATTATATCGCATGAAAAACTATCTATACTGGTGATCTGAAGACATTTGTGTTCCGCCACACGAATAAACCTTTTTTACCGCATTTATCTTTTCTGGTATAATTATGAAAATCCTTCGTTACTTTCTAAACTTCACACTCTACACGGAGTATTGAAAAAGGTTCCCATTGATAATGAGAAAATTTTAGGTATACTTGACATGAATGTATGGTTAATATATATGACATGACTTATTTCCAAGACTAGGTTGTTTTAGATTTTCGCTCGTACCAAGGACTTAAACAAGCAGGCGCTTGTTTCTAAGAAGCCACTAGATTTATAAATGCCGGTTTTATCAATTTCTTTTTGATATCACCGAAAACATATATTTGTTTTTCTCTCTGCAAATTAGCAAATCTACCGCAACAATTTTTCGTTTTTGCCCTGAAGTATTTCAACTCTATGGTAAATTCGGATTTCAGTTTACTCGCGCAGTGTTTGCATATTCGTTTTCAAGTTTCTGTAAAAATGTCTTTCGGTTGATAGGCTGGAAATGAAAAATGAAAGGACCGGGATTGAAATATTTTGTAAAATGAATGCAGCAAGCCAATATACGAGAATATCGGTCAGAGACCAAAGACTTATCGATCGAAAGATAGGGGATCCCCCAATACAGCGCTCTTACTCCATAGTGACACCTTGTGTCCCATCACTAATTATTTAATAACTCGCTAATTATACAATATAATCTATCCAAAATCAATAGGCTTCTGGTACGACATATGATGAATGCATATGCAAAATCTGGAGCAGATTCAATCTCGCTTTCGTGAGATATCGCGTGCATCTAACAGACAGGCAGACAGACAGACAAATACCTATCAACATACTTACCGATTAAAATCGATAATTAAAAATTAATTCGAACTAATAAAAGAAAGGTAAAACAAGACTCAAACTTAATACACGCACTGAAGCCGAAGTTAAGGTCGAATTTATTATAATTTGTTCTTAAATATTGCAATTCCAATCACGACCTATCACGGCAAAACTTCTCTATATACTTACAATCAACTACGTTGATTTAATGATAATTATATGATATTGTTATTTTCTATTTTGTTCATAGTGCGGTGCGACATTGTTAAATCTATCGCTGAAATTCTTGCCCTCCAGAAGCGTGTCTACCAATATGGAGGTAACTAATTTTGTTCGCCTACTTTACATAAAGTTGTGTAAGGGGACTGAAACCTATAATGGACAGGGAGTATATCATTTGGCTAACACAGACAGTGCCCGAACTCGTAATCGAACTAAAATAAGGAAAATCGGAATAAAAGTATGGCCTTGCCCCAACCCTAACTTGGCACACACACTACGGAAGTACCGAATCAACTACCTTCATTTAATGCATGTGATATTACTATTTTTTATTTTGTTCATTTTGCGATGTTGAATCTATCACTGAAGGTTTGTATATATTTTTCGTGCTTTAATTACTTTTTGCTTCAATTTTGCATGTTATTAATACATAACACATATCACATAGCAATATATCTCTTGATTGGGGTTTTGTCATGCGTGGCTTTTCAGTCTTTAAGAACAACGGAAAATTGAGCGAATTTCGGATAGTAATCATTAGTGATGATGCCATCGTTTTTTAACAAAGTCATGTACACTCTGTCCAATCAGTATTCACTAAGTTGTATAAGTCATTATATGTTATGGATTAGTTTTTAACCAAGCTCTGAGTGGGATGTTCATGGGTTCCTAGTCTTCAATTATCAAAATACTGATTATTAAATATTGATTCAAACTGTTTCTGGGAATTTTGATCAAGACCGTAAGCAAGCCGTAACCAAACTTCTTGGGAATAGGTTTAAGTATTTTCCAGTTCTGGAGAAATAGAAGTATCTAAGAATAAATCTACAAGACTGTAAGTACGAGCGTAGTCCGCGAGATGGCACAAAAGATATTTATTTAAATAAGAAACCAATGGAGCGTTTTGGCGACTCTATCCTCTGCAACTGTGATGACGCTCAATTAAATGAAGTGCTTGTCAGGATGGGTTTAAATCGCGAGATTAACATTTATTAAACATTGTAGGGATCGGTGATTTCGATAGATTGTAGATGGTCACATTGACGTAGTTTGATAAAATATGGCAACGATCGTGCACCTTATTTCGTCACTGTGATCTCTGTTACATCGGTTTTATCTCTTATATAGGCCATATTAAAAAGGAAAAACAAGGCTGGCCAAGGTTTAAGTAAGATTGAAAATCAGTGCCGTCACAGTCAGTGCCAAATCTTTGATGCCTTTTTAATAGAATATTATTGTTTGTTTCCTTCCAACCCATTGAGGGCCGAATCATTGTCGACCTTTGAAACAATGAATGAGTAATTACGTACTTCACATATATATAATGCATTTATTAGTATTGCCATTTCTGTTAATTGTTTATTTCAATTTAATAATCTGATAAATATGTCCCGTTTTAATGATCACTATGGTTCAAATTCCAAAAAAAACGCAAATAGTTTTATCATTAAAATAAGCAATATTTAAATATATATGGCACCTCATCTGTAGTATATAGCGTCGGAATAAACAATCCTGTTCATGGAAGAAGATAAAATAGGTTTCATTATTTGTGTTCTGCTGTTTATAGGTTTATCAAACCTTATGTTTTAGACACAACAAGTTACGTATAGGATAAGTTAGGTATAGGTAATTTCAAGATCGAAAGATCCTTGTTTAAAAAATAGATTGATAATCAGTGCTATCACATCCTGATTTTAATGTCACTTTGAACAGAATAGTATTGTTTGTTGACTTCCAACATTGAGGGCCGAATCATAGTCGACCTTTGAAACAATGAATGAGTAGATACGCTCTAAAAATATAATTCCGTTATTATTGTCGACATTTCTGTTAATTACTTATTTTAATTTCCTAGTTTAATAATCTGACAAATATTTCCAGTTTTATTAATCACTATGGTTCAAAATCCAAACATAAATAATTATATACATACGAAAATAGTGTCTAAGTATTCAAACAAGCAATATTTATATATAAATGGCGCCTCATCTGCAGTATATATCGCCGATATAAGCGTGCGTTCGGTTTTATTTGTTTTTCGTTATTTAGAGCAAGGTTTTCCAAACTTTTTGGGCCAGTGGACTCCTGTTTGGGAATCCTATTTTTGACGGACTTCCAAGTCTCCACCTGTCATCATATTGGTAAAGCTGGAAATGCTGCCTCGCACATCTATGTCGTTGCAATAGGCGATGCCATTTTAATTGCTTTTTCTGACAACAATTGATATTTGTCCGCAACGCCAACTAAAAAGATGCAATGGCTTGTAGATTGAAATGAATAATTAAAGATCGATCAGGCTCTTTTCATATCAATGCGAACCCCCACGGGTTCGCGGACCCCAGTTTTACGAAACCCTGGTTCGGAGGTTCATTAAACCAGCTAATTGTGTTTTTAGACGCGATAAGTTACGTTTACAGATATGAGTTTGCCCGACGAACTGGAAATTGCCAAAGTTTGCGCAGTAAGACAAATTGGATGTCAGTTTACTCAAATTGCGATTCTATCTATTTCACATTTCTCAGCATAAAATCATGTGAAAAAGGAGACCGATGGAAGATGCTCATAGACTACTATATGCAGATGGTCTTACTGGTTGCAGATCATTACTACGCATTGGTCAGAAATAGGCGCGAACAGTGTGATTGATGGATCGACATGTTCTATTGCCGGATTAATCTATTCGGAGATATCTGAACTATATAAAATGTATTCATAGAATAGAAAGAGATAATGAGCCTTATCGCTGAGATACGATATATGTCGAACATTTCTTCGACATTTCATTGACTTTGCGATGGCCTCGGGCGCTCCCGTAGTATTTGAATCAAGATGGCGGACACCGGAACGTAGTGTGTGTACCAGGTTAGGGTTAGGCCATAATTTTATTCCAATTTTCCTCATTTTAGTTCTATCACGAGTTCGAGGACTAGCCAAGTGACTTCCGTAGTATTTGTACCTAAAATTATGGCCTAACCTTAACCATACACATACACATACTACGTCCGGTGTCCGCCATATTGGTTCACATATTACGGGAGTAACGGTCTCATAACCCCGTTGCCAGAACCTAAGTACTATAGACTAGAGTGCGTACGTATTTTGAAGAATACTATTTTGTTATTTATTTTCATATTTCAGATGGATTCAAAAATAATGTTTGTTACTTTGCTGGTGACTTTGATATTATTGCCAGATGTCTCAGAGTAAGTGACAGTCATGAATTTTTGAATTGAATCTTTCCCAGGACCAATGAATCTACCATGAATTAAATTTTATTTTATTGATTCAATTTGAATGAAAAATAAATAATATAATATAGCTTATATAAAGCATTTGAGCTTTAGAAAAATAAAAAAAAACTTTACAGAGATTTGTCAATCAGTTTTATTAATTTTTTAATTATTAGCTAATAACAAGAACAACACCAATTTTGCACAACAATATTTACGTCAACTTCGTGTGTAGGAAACCCATTGCCAGTTGAAATATACGTTTATGTATGGCTCGTAGCCGACTATGTATGGGTTATTAAGATACATGACAGGATTAACATATTTATCCCGAGGGAGAGGAAAGTCGATAGGACGGCCTAATCATATGGCGAACCACAGCATCTCGTTCACTTACCAGTCCATGTCTGGTATGGGATTAGTTAGTTATTTGTTTTCCGGAAGAATGGCCTTGATGGTGGAGGAAACCGTAACCGACCAGCGGAGCCACCCTGCGGCGGCGAGAAATCCAGCAATCCTCTCACACATAACTATCCCGCATGAGATTCGAACCTGCGAACCCACGCAGAGGAATCAGAGGTTCGGTGCGGTAATCAGCGTATTCCTAACGCTTAGCACGATGAGCCACAACGCCATTCCCGCTCGGGTGGAAAGAAAATTCACAAACTGAAGATTTCAAAAAAACACTAGGCAGAGAAAGTACCACAGTGGGCACATCAGTGTAACTACGTCTTGAGTTAGATGTTGGAATGGTGCATGTAATATAACTAAACTATACGCATATACAGTCACCTAAGCACACGCAGTCACAGTTTCTTTGGGAAAAAATGTCCTTTCGTTTCTTTTTTCAAGGTATGTTGCAGCTTACTATGGACATAGACATGGCTACTACGGCTACAGTCGCAGAGAAAAAAGATCAACAGCTGAAGATGAGATTCGTACGTATTTTGTATAATTTAACATTGATTGGCTTAAAATTGACTATAGCAAATATTAACAAACTTATTGCCACGCTGCCATTTTCCATTCATGTACTGAACACTTGAACAGCAAATACAAAGTTGACGAGAGATTGTTTAACGTGATCGCTGAGTACTGTCGTTTTTACACATTTTACTACAAAAACGCGTCAGCTTTTTATGACTATTGCACAAGTTTTTTAGAATATATTTTTGGATTTTAATAATTTAAATAAAAATTATCTAACTTTCTTTCTATTTTAGGCATTGACGACTTTATTGAAGAAAATCTCAATGACTTGTATGAACCGAACAATGAATAACAGATGAGGTCGAAGTTGGGGAATAAGTCTTTGTTATATATATTAGGTTGGAAATATATCGTAGAAATTATTCAGAAACCCTGCTCTAGCTATAAAACAAATACATATTATAACAATACTGAAAAATAGCACTGGTGACTTTTTGTAGAAAAAAAATGTGTTTTCCTGGGGTTGTAATATAGTAGTATAGCCGATACTCCCGAAGTATATGAACCAAGATGGCGGACACCGGAACGTATAACTATAGTATGTATATCAGGTTAGGGTTAGGCCATAATTCCAGATACAAATACTACAGGATTCACTTGGCTATTCCCCGGACTTGTAATAGAACTAAAATAGGGACATTTGGAAAAAAAATTATGGCCCAAATCTAGCCTGATACACATACTACGTTCCGGTGTCCGCCATCTGGGTTCAAATACTTCGGGAGCAGCGTATTGCCTGATCTCTAGTGGGCGCTCCGTACCAATATGGCGCACAATTTGAACCCTAACCTGGTACACATACTATGTTCAGGTTGTGCGCCAACTTTAACCAATTTCAAATTCGCCTTAATCGCGCGGTGAGGTAATGGTTTTGAATGTCAGTTAGACATCGGTCGTACTCGAATAGAATTTGGACTCAGAGTGAAGAAAAACATTTAGGGTTTGCAAAGATTTCACTGAGGTAGTACACTTACATTGAGGGGGTACGGATTTTCATTCCACGTATTTTTGTTGCGTCAGAAAGTTTACAGTCTGACGACTGCTTTTCGCGTCATTTTTATATTCTACCTGGTCATATTAGTCAGCAAAATTTTGCTTGGTTTGCACTCAGCGAGGCATATTTCAATCACTAGATGTCGAAATAAATAATAATGGTTCTCCTCATTCCTGTCACTAATTCGTTGTTCTCTTCATGATTGTGATTTAGTTGATTTTTTTGAAAGCTTCTTTGCTATATTTTCTACTTGAATTCGGGTGTCGCTGACTAGAGATGACTCACCGAGTCATTCGCGACCCCCCATCAATTGCTATGAATCAATGTGTTTCCGTTTTTTGTTTATCGTGTTCTTTTGTTGCAAAAGTATTTTCTTTCCAAAAGTATCAAATTTTGAATATGAGGTGTTTCACCTAATTCAAAATGGCCAATCTATTCTGCTTGAGACGCGATAACTAAATTCAAAAAATTACGGAATGAGCGTAATTTTGAAAAATTCTCTATATTTTATCATGATATACCACGTAAAGAAAGAAGTGTTTATGGTCAATGCAAATCAACACGGCCGAATTATCACCGAGGGTATTTATGTTGAGGACGCTTCTGTGTCATTAGAGGGATTCACTTTGCCAGCTGACGATAGTTTGTCGATACACGTATTATCAACGTGATTTTTGAATAAAACATACTTTCGCCTATCATCTGGTATTTGTAGCTTATTGTTGGCTAGGTATTTCTGAGGTGAGGCTCGAGACTTGACAATTGTATAAAGACGGAAAAAGGTAAGACTTAAAAAGACAACCATTGGCAAAAAGGGTTGGCATGTGTTGTGGTGCTTGTTGCGTTACATACTATGATCATCATTGTATTTTCTCTAAATCCGCCTTTGTAGTGAACAAATCGATGCAGAAAATGCATATTTCGATTGTTTTAACATTGTTCGTCAGTGAAATAACGACAGAGACAGGAAAACAATAATATCGTAGTTGATTAGGATCAAGATAATAAAAACAGAAGATCAATGCTCAAATATATGGACACGAAGTTCATAGGTTATATCGAAGTGTTCTAATGAATAAATAGATAATAGCAAACTTTGGGTGATAAACGTAACGTGAAGAAATTAAATAAAACGCGCCTCTGTAAACAACAGAAAATGAAATAGTATTATTTAATGACTTTTTCACTCAGAATGATTTCTATTTCTGGACTTATATACTTCACCAACCTCCGTAAATACATGACATGACGTCATTTGCAATGAGTATTTCAGATCTAATATGAGAGAATTGACCTGACTTGGTCGCCTAATAACCAAGTATAAACGAAATAATACAGCGGGCAAACATGTAAATTTGGGCAAGCTCTCCATTTTAGGAAAAAAATAACGGAGGAAATTTGGTCTGAGAAGCTAGAAAGTGCCTTCTATCAGCAAAACAAGCTCAAGGTTCTCATTATTTTATGAATTTATCAGTAATGAGTTTTCATTGCTCAATATTTCTGGTTTTTGAAAGCCTATTCAAAAAAAAATTCAGTTTGAAACGATACCACTCTGCAAAAAAAAATTGCTATTACAGATAGTATTAAAGCCGTGCTTCCAAACCTGTTTCCGATGTACTTCCCACGAATCGGGAAAAAACATATTTTTCGATATCAAATCTACAACAAATTATTATTGCAGATTGCAATTACAATATTCCCTGTCGTTTGGCTGTACAAAAAATGTTAATTTAATAAAAAAAATACAACCTGTTTTTATTTTATTATAGTTCCGTGCTTTACGTGCTCTTTACAGTGTTAGAATATGAAAAGGATCATATTTACAATTTTATATTTGGTACAACAACAAAATACAAAAATTTTAATAAATATTCGAATTATTATTAACCGCGCATTCATTAGATCAACCATTAAAAGTAGGATAATTCAATTTGAACAATTCCTTCAATTAGTAATTCAGGTACAGGAAATTGTGATGGATGGTATTTTGAATTTCTTGTATTCATGTTTGTAGGCAAGGGAAAACGAATTTGGTCAAGGTAAGAATGGTGAGGTAGGCTACATGTTTTTGGTTCGTTTATTTTAAGTTTTGGAGCAATTTCTTTCGCCAGGCAAAGTCGGATGTTGGAATGCAGTTTTATGCAAAAACAACACTACGCCCACTTGGACGAAAGTCAGCATTGGGGTAAGTGAATAAAAACGAAATCTTATGTCTCAACCTTTGGTGTTTTCAAAACAACAATGCCAACAATTGAATAGGACATTACTATTTTTGTGGTGTGTTTTACACTTTTGGTTCAAGCAAGGCTTTTTTACCACATTGGTTTAACCAGATTTGGTTAGATGGCTTCATATGATGAGTCATATCTACCTGTATTTGAATTTTGTATAGCAGGCACGTGGGCTATGGCTTCGTCAATTTTCTCGCCCTTTTTTATCTTAATCTTCTCTCTGATCCCTTTTTTTCGTGCCGCGAAGAAAGCTATTTCAGTTTTCCAAGCACAACATGAAACAATGTTTGAACGTAATTCATCATCAAGTTTTAGCTTTCCTGTATTTCCGTGTATTACAATTTTTACACATTATAGCCATATAATACTAATTCTTTCTTCGCCATGCGATTGCATGCTCAGTCTGATTCTCTTTAAACTTGCGAAAAACCTCTATGTGAACAATTTATACAATCACTTCATAAGATTCAATCAGATTTACAAAAATTACGGATAAATATAGTTCAACAAATTTTTACTAGGACTCCGCCGAAAACTGATGGGGCAATTTCCGAGTTTACAGAGTTTGTAATTGACAAAAGACGAGCAGAGACTTTAAACGACCTTTGAATTCGGTCTTACTACTTACTGAATACAGCGCGAAACACCGCAAAGAGCGCAAAACAGCGCGAAACAGCGCAAAACAGCGCAAAACAGAGGGAAACAGCGCAAAACAGTGGGGAAACAGCGCAAAACAGAGCGAAAGAGCGCAAAACAGAGGGAAACAGTGTGAAGCAGAAAATTTTTTTGCAAAGAGTAATGCTGTAATGGCAGGTCTGCCCCTGCTGGTGACACATTTTGGGTACCATAATTTAGAACATTTTCCATATGGATATGGTTGGCTTTAGGGTTAGGGTTAGATAAAAAGGGACCTCCAGAAGTATGTGCACCAAGATGGCGCACAACCTGAAAATAGTGTGTGTGTGTGTGTAGCGGATTCGGGTTGTGCGACATATTGCTGCACATACTTCTGGAGCACCAAAAAGGTAGATAAAATTTCGCATGATGACCTATAATCCGGTACATAACCTTGTAAATATACCGGAAATAGCGCCATAAAACCACGGCGAGAGGCGCCGTAGTTCTTTCGTGGCAGGAGGTGGTAATGACTGCGTCTCCTGTTTTGCGCTGTTTCCCTCTGTTTTGCGCTGGTTTCATTCTGTTTCGCGCTGTTTTCCTCTGTTTTGCGCTGTTTCGCGCTATTTTGCGCTGTTTCGCGCTATTTTGCGCTGTTTTGCGCTCTTTGCGGTGTTTCGCGCTGTATTCAGTAAGTAGTAAGACCGTCCGACAGACTATTTGTTAGGTTAACAATATAAATATTGTTGTGACCTGCTGTTTTTGTTCAAAATGTATTTTTCCACTAGTGAATTTTTTTTCTCAACTCCGGAATGTACTAGAATACCTAATCTAAATTATTTTGATTATTGAAGTACATAAGGAACAGTCCCAATAAAAATTTTCAAGTGGAAAATTGTGCAGATGCGTATTGTTTATGAGAATTACTTTTGGACATTTTGTTTAGTCATTCTGCTCATTGCAACTTGATTCTAGTTAATCTATCTCGAGATCAATAATATCGTGTATTTGTCACATTCGTGTCCGGTTTTGTGCTTATTGTCATTACACGTTTACATGTTCATTACACGTCTGCATATTTCCCAATCATTTTAATGCTTTCGTTTGGTCTATTTCTTGGATTTAATGGGTCAGTCGTGATGTATATTATATGAGGTAAATGCTGAAATACCCACATGATACACAAACCAAGTTTTTGACAAAATTGCATTTAAAATTGTGATGAATACATGGGCTATTCGTGATACACTGCAACTTGATTTTAGTTAATCAATCATGGGAACAATAATAATTGATTACCTAATTATATTTGATTAATTGATTTGACATTGAAACGTAACATAGTGTCGAATTTTATATTTGTCTCATTCGTTTCCGGTTTTGTGCCCATTGTCATGACACGTCTGCACATTTCCCATCATTTTAATGCTGTCATTTTGCACTTTTCTTCGATTCACGGGTTAATCGTGATGTACAGTATATAAGATAAATGCTAAAAATAACCACAAGAGACACAAGCCAAGTTTTTATAGAAATTTCATTCTGACATTGTGATGAATGCATTGGCTATTCGTGATACAT